GGAGCACATTATCATGGATTTCGTGAGTGGGCTACCCAAGACTCCAAGTGGACTTGATTCTATTGGGTTGTGGTGGACAAATTGACAAAGTCCACACATGTTTTGCCTATGAGGACTACTTATCCCTTGGAGAAATTTGCTAAACTTTATGTAAAGGAGATTGTGAAATTACATGGGGCCCCAGTGTCGATTGTTTCATATAGAGATCCTCGATTTGTCTCAAGGTTTTGGGATAGTTTACAAAAGGCTATGGGCACTGAGTTGAGATTTTGTACAACTTACCACCCATAGACAGATGGACAGTCGGAGAAGGTTATTCAAATATTGGAAGACATGCTTCGTGCTTGTGTGCTTGACTTAAAGGGTTCTTGGGTAGAGCATTTACCACTAGTTGAGTTTGCTTATAATAACAGTTTTCAAGCTAGCATTGACATAGCACCATATGAGGCTTTATATGGGCGAAAATGTAGATCTCCAATTTGTTGGGCTGAAGTTGGGGAAATAAAGATATATGGGCCAGAGATAGTACAAGAGACCACGAATAAAGTACAGTTGATTTAGTAAAGACTTCGAGTTGCTCAGAGTAGACAAAAAATTTATGCGGNCATTTACCACTAGTTGAGTTTGCTTATAATAACAGTTTTCAAGCTAGCATTGACATGGCACCATATGAGGCTTTATATGGGCAAAAATGTAGATCTCCAATTTGTTGGGCTGAAGTTGGGGAAAGAAAGATATATGGGCCAGAGATAGTACAAGAGACCAGGAATAAAGTACAGTTGATTTAGGAAAGACTTCGAGTTGCTCAGAGTAGACAGAAAATTTATGCAGACAATCGGAGGAGAGACTTAGAATTTCAGGAGGGCAATCATGTATTCCTAAAGGTGTCACCTTGGAAAAGGATTATGAGATTTGGTAAAAAGGGGAAGTTGAGTCCAAGGTATATTGGACCCTTCGAGATCCTAGGAAGAGTTGGTGCAGTGGCTTATAGGCTAGCCTTACCACCAGAGTTGGCTGGTATCCACAATGTGTTTAATGTATCAATGCTTAGGAAGTACATGCTAGATCCATCACATGTAATTGAGGTTGAGCCGCTACAAATGCGAATGGATTTGTCTTATGAGGAGTTACCAGTGAAGTTCTTGGATCGAGAAGAACGAGTATTGAGGAACAGGGTTTTTTCATTTGTTAAAGTTCTGTGGAAGAACCACTCGGAGAGGGAAGCTACCTAGGAGAGCGAACAAAAGATTAAGGAAAAGTACCCACAGTTGTTCCAACCACGGGATGCACCAAGTTTGGAGCCAAACTTCTTCAAGGGGGGAGAGTTGTAATGCCCAATATAGGTATGCGTTTGGACTTATCTAATAAATAAATAGATAAATAAAAAGATATTAAATTATTTAGAAATTTAGAATTTGTTGTACGTAGATGCCTTATGGTTAAACTATATATATATATATATATATATAATATTTATTTAGGGTATTGGGTACCAAGTGTAACTATAAAATAAGAATAATAATAATAAAAAAAAAGGGGNTATATAATATTTATTTAGGGTATTGGGTACCAAGTGTAACTATAAAATAAGAATAGTAATAATAAAAAAAAAGGGGACAAAAGTGTGATTAAAATGAGTTCTCTTATTGACCTAGAAGTCTAATGACATATAAATATATATATTCTCTTCCCAACATATACACATACANCAAAAGTGTGATTAAAATGAGTTCTCTTATTGACCTAGAAGTCTAATGACATATAAATATATATATTCTCTTCCCAACATATACACATACATTAGAATAAGAGAAAGGAGAGGAGAGGCTAGGGTTTTGAGTAAAGAAAAAAAGAAGAGAAAGAAAGAAGGGGATTTAGAGAAAAAGGAAGAAAGGAAGAAAACAAGAAGATTTGATCATCAAGGTTAGTTTTCAATTTGAAATTTAATTTTGTATTTAATCATTATATGTATACATATACAATGTTGTAGTTTGATATAATATTGCAAGTAATCTATATGGATAGGTTTATAGGATTAAAATAGGTGAATTCAAATATATAATAGGGTGGTATTTGTGTAAAGAAGAGATTGGGAAAGGGAAGAAAGAAATGTACAGACCAAAATCTTCTTGAACGTAAGGTTGAAGAAGATAAAGTTTTGAAATTATGGAAATCTCCCCTTTAGTTTTAAGTAATTTTATTTTGATCCCTATACTTTTACTCAATTTTTGACTACCATAGAACTTGGTAATTTATAGAACTGATCCATTATGTTTTAAACAAATATGGTTATGTCAAAGCAGCGCCCGAGTCTTGAAAATTTCTGAAATTTTGAAACGACCCCTAAAAGTTTCGATTAAANAGTAAATTGACTGCCCTAGGTTGCCTCATATATTATCAGTATTGTTGGGCTGGAAAGAATAGGTGGCGACAGAGAGAAAGAAAGAAACAGAGAAACAGAGAGAAGGTAGAAAGAAGAACGAAAATGAAGANATATTATCAGTATTGTTGGGCTGGAAGGAATAGGTGGCGACAGAGAGAAAGAAAGAAACAGAGAAACAGAGAGAAGGTAGAAAGAAGAACGAAAATGAAGAAAAAAAAAGGGGGGGATTGGACTCGTTAAAGGTATGAATTCATTAATTATTTGTAGGTTTGTAAGTTATTCAATTACAAAGTATTAAGGTTATCAAAAATAGTGATAAAGAATACTTATATATATATATATTTGTGTGTCTGTGTCTGTGTGAGAGTTCATGATGAAGAATAGTGGTGAATGTATATATGGGTTTTATTGGAAGTAGTTAATTTAGGTGTTTTTAAACCTAAGTTAGATTGGTTAGTCTTGNGAGTTCATGGTAAAGAATAGTGGTGAATGTATATATGGGTTTTATTGGAAGTAGTTAATTTAGGTGTTTTTAAACCTAAGTTAGATTGGTTAGTCTTGAAGTTTGTAAGGAATTTAATCAATGTGTAAAAAGAAAAAAGAAAAAAAAAAAAAAGTTACTGGTTTAGAGTAATCGTAGGAAGAAGAAGGTGAAAAGGTGTAAAATTATATAAACTTCCATTAATTACGAGAGATGTCATTGTGACCCTCTATATTTTATTAAATTCAACTTTGATCATCGAGCCTTGGAAAGTATTCAAAAATTATGTTATGATCCCAAAAATTTTAAAAATTAAGATTTGACCCCAAAACTTTAAAAAAAAATTTCTAAACAGCCCAGAATACTTTCTTATCCTATTACCTCATATTATAAAGGATATTTATATGTAAAAGATATATTAAGTATATATCAATGAGTAGGAAGTATACAAATTAAATATAAAATCACGAAATGACGAAGTTAGGAAAAGGAATTGATTGTTATATGTTAGGGTCAATTGCACTGGAGGTCCCCAAACTATGAATTTTGTCTCATTTTGATCTTCAATATTTCAATTGCATCATTTTGATCCCTGAAGTATTGAATATGCTTCTATTTGGTCCCTTAAGCAGACAGTGTCCAAATTGCTAATAATTTTTTATCACAAACTTGTCACATGATACTTAAATGTGGACAAAAAAATAATTTGAATAACTCTTGACCAAATTTCTACTCAAATTTTGGTTAAATACCTACTTAAATTACACAATTTTGATCATGAGCTATCCAAATTTTTGTCAAAAGCTACCCATATTGCACATTTTTTTGTTAAAAACTAGCCAAATTTTGTTTAAAAGCTATCAAAATTATTTTTTGTCCATATTTAGTTATTATGTGACAAATTTATGATAAAAAATTATTAGCAATCTGAACATTGTCTGCTTGAAGGACCATATAAAAACATATTCAATACTTCAGGGACTAAAATGATGCAATTGAAATATTGAGAACCAAAATGAGACAAACGCCATACTTTAGGGATCTCTAGTGCAATTAACCCTATATGTTATTTTGGATTAGGTGGTAATTGCATTGAGGTTGGAAAAAAGTGCTTTGAATTGGATTTTGGAAATCAATGTGAGTAGTTTACTACTTCTTTTAGAAGAATTTTCTATATTAAATGTGTGGGTGCGTGCATGTGAATTTTTCATATATATGATACATGTTGATGTTTGGGATTACAATTAAATATTTTGCAATTGTGAATTGTTATACCTGAGAATTTGAAAAACTTATGGGATGATTTTATATCATTGTTTAAATATGTTTTGGTGATGAAAGGGAAATTTTGTGTGCGTTGGAATTAAAACAACAATTTTAGTGTGTGTTGAAATCATGTTTTATGAGAAAGGGACTGGGTTACCAAGTCTAAATGATAACGAGATTGTATACCGGCGTGGTCGGTATAAGGATGTGCATATAGGGGCTAGTTACCAGGTTAGTGGTAACAAGCATGATTTGACAAATGTATTTGAAACTAAATGCGTGTGTGAGTGTTTTGAGTTATAAATGTTTTTCATTTATAAAATTATTTGTGAAAATGAGTGGGTGTTTAGGTTATAAATGTCTTTTTTTTTTATAAAGTTATTTATGATCATGAGATCATTTTGTTTACATGATTATGTGGAAGGGATTGGGGTACAATTTATTATACTTATGAATATAACAAAGTTTATGTTGGTATATAAAATGTGGGATTTATTTTCACACCTCATTATAGGTGGTTGCTATTCACAGGTCTTTGTACTCATCCAAACATTTAACATTTTTCAAGTGAAAATCAAGGGGAGGAGTAAGTCCCCGGATAGACAAAAGATTAGAAGAGTTGAAGATTTATTTTATTGTAGGTCTTCAAGAATAAATTTCTTTTATGATTTTGAGACGAATATTTAATTGTTTTAGGAATAATGTTGCTCATGTTTAGAGTAGCGAACCTTATGGTTTAGTTATTGTTTTGCATGAGTTTAATAATAATGTCGGTGATGTTAGTTTATTTTTCTGGTATTCATTAAATCGGTGAAATTGATCATTTTATTATTTGTGCTCCGTTATATTTTACATTTATTATGCACAGGATTAGTTGGTTAAGGCCTTGGTGGCCGATCCGTTGCTCACCCTATGTGATCCGGGGTGGGGATGTGACCCAGGTGAGATAGATGTCACTTGAGTTTCATCCTGTAGTTTATGAGTAGGCTGCCTAAATTTTGCAACTTCAATTCCATTGTTTCTGTTACTTCCAGGATCTGATGGAGGCTTCTCTTTTGACATGACAATCTCAGTTGTTGGTTTCACCTCATTGGACATGATTTTCTTGCTATTGCCATCAGCAAGAGGTTGAGATTCCTTTTGGGTATGTTTGGGCTTCCAAGTGGTTGTAGTCACCATCTTAGGACATGTGAACTCATTATGGCCAAATATGTGGCAACTTTGGCATACTTTGGGCTTCCACTGATACTCTACTTGCATTATACCTAGAAAATTTGACATGTCCTAATACATGAAAAATATTATACCTAGAAAATTATTATAATAAATGAAGAATACTATGTAACCAAAATTCAAAGCTCATAACATACAATTATGACATACAAAGGATTTCAAACATAACAAATAACAATTGCATAACCGATTGTTCAACAACATAAAACACAATAAACATAACAATAAAGTATTCAACCCCCCTTAATGGCTCTCCACTCATTATACATATCATTGACTAACTTATTTCTAAAAGAAATCCATGCATTAGAAGTGTCTATAGTGTCAATCACATCAAGCACGGCATCTTCATTAGCATTACCTGGCTCATTTTTAGACAATTCATCTTTTTATAAGGTGGTACGCCATCTCATTTCTAATCAAATTATGCAATAGACAGCATGCAAGGATGATTTGATTGTGTGGGTGCACGGGGTAGTAACAAGGAGTCCTAAGATCTCCTACGGGGTCTTTAGTAATCCAAAACACCATTCTATAGCATTTCTTATTATTGCATACCTAAGATTGAAGTATTCCTTAGGACTCCCGTCACCCCACTATTCTAAATGGTATATTTGGCCCCTATATGGAGCTAAGAAACCTGCCCCTTTAGTGTAACCAGTATCCACTAGATAGTAGGTGTCTATGTAAGATGAAAAAAAGTATAAGTAAGCAAAATATTGGTGTTTTAACTAGGTATATGTGAAGTATACCACTTACCCCGTGCCATTTTCAATTCATTACATCAACTGACTGCATCTCATAATATCCTAGAATCTACAGCTAACTCGTCCCAACCAAGCAACAAAGCATACACCCAAAATTAGTAATGCATCTAAATCAAGTGCCACTGTATTTATACTACTTACAAAAGCATAAAAAATGGAGAGACCAATTACTTTAAATCATCTCCATTTATTATTAGTGATGTCTTGAAGCATTGGTTCGGGTCTCTTCAATAACAAACAATGATTTTTATAACAACCATAAGAACGGCGTTGAAATGTTGACTAATTGTGTCACCTGATCTACGAAAATTGAACTTGACTGGCCTATTCTTCTAATCATGCCCCAATATGTTCAAGAACATTGCTACTATTTCTTCAACACTTGCATTTCTCATTGCAGTTAAACTACCGCATCTTGAACTAAATTACAAAGGACATGAAAATTGTACCGGTTCATTCTAAGTTGCTCTATGCAATTAATGTCACTCTCTTCAACTAATCGATGTTAGTGTTCTATCTATAGTCGATTTCTAGTCAATGACATTTTTGGTCTTGTTTTCTTTTGCATCTCAATTTTCACATTATAACAATAAGGATCAAAATCAAAAACATGAAATTGATCAACTCCCTTCTAGTCCTATCTAACACAACTACTAACCCAGCAATCTAATCAATTATGGTTTGGCATTGTTTTGACAAGAACCATCATGAATTACAATATAAGGAATCACACAATAACAAGACTAAAAAATTGTAAATATTAGTTTAGGTTACAAGTTGTTCAAATTTGGGCATATTTGCAAAAAGAGATTGTTCATGGCTTCATGAGAAACCATTAATATGCTTAAGATATTCACAGTAACTTTATTTACAATAACAAAAACTAAAAGGAAATAATAAAATAAACACATATGCAACACAGATCAAATGACGATTCGGTCTACAAACATAGCACTTCGCCATTCCTTGACAAGTTTTCTGTTAGATTATGTTCCAAGTGTGTAAATTAACTTCATTGGTACTGAATCAATTTTTCTTGATTATTTTCTAAGCGGTTAAATTACAAACTAGTTTTCATATTCGGAAAAAAATTGTTATTTCAAATTGAAATATAAGTTAGATAGTGTAATCAATTTTTTTCAACTTTCCGATCGTTTGCATGTTTTGATTAAAGCACATTGGATATTTTTTTAGTGCCATTTTTATTACTATGCACCACACAAGGTTAAGAAACTTATGGGATGACAATAGTTCAAAAACAAAAAAAAAATGTTAGACATTCTGATTTTCCATTGATGCCAAAAATAAAAAGACATTGTGGTTCATGCGCTACAAATAGAACCCAGTTTCTATGAGAGAGAGAGAGAGAGAGTACCTAATGACGAGAAGCAACAGTCAATCGAGTGAAGGACCAATTACTGAAGCAACGACAGAATGGACAAACGATGGAGATGGGGATATATGTTCTGACCTAGTATGGGTAACACAACAGGGTAATTTGGTAGTTTGAATTAGTTATCCTAACTGGTAAAAAAAATTTCATCCCCCCTAAGTTTCATTTAACTGATGTAGATAGATTAAAGTTGACTTTTTAAATCGGGTTAGGATAAAATCTAAATGAAATTTCTGATGTTTTTTTTACTTATCAAATGTGGGGTATATCCCCAACTAGTTTGTTATCCTATTCCACCAAAGTTATCCCCTTTTTACCCGTGATTCAAACATATCCATATATAGTTCTCTAGGTTCCCATGCTAGAGCACAGAGAAGGAAGTGGCAAAGAGATGTCCTTAAAGAAATGAATTAAAAAAAATAATTTCCTAATTTTTTTATTCTTTCTTTTAATTTCCATGCCAATAATTTGTTCCATTATTTCAACTACAGACGTTTTTGAAGCTGTTATTGTGAAGACCTTAAACATATATTCAAGTTATGTGGATTTAGTAAGCTGTCATTAATAGTAATTTTTCTTTGTCTTTTCTCTCTAGCTACCACCCTTGTGTTGGGTTTTTTTGTGGAGTCTAGTTGTGTGTGTGATCCGAATTATGACCCGACCCAAAATAATGTTGCATATTTTTAATGAAAATTTTCTGAGGATTAGTCCATGGAGCGGAGGCTTGAGTCAGAAAAAAAATTTTGAACCTGTTTTGCAACCCGATGAGTAGGACATATAAAAACTGTTATTTTGGTGATTAGGGTTGATTTTAATTTTTACAACCACCGCACTCTTTGTATTCTTTCTTGAGAATAATGAAATCCCTACAACTTCGTAGACGTAGGCAAATTGTCAAACCACGTAAATTATGTGTTATGTAATTGTTTAGATTGCATTCGTATCATTCTTTTTATTAATTTCATTTTATTGTCATCATTTGATTTCACAACAATTGGTATTATAGCCAAGGTTGGAGTCTGAAATAAACAATAGCTTGAGAAGAAGTGAAGACATCTGGGATTGAGAAGTTTGATGGCACAGATTAAGGGTACTAGAGGATGTAGATAGAGGACTACCTCTATGGAAAAACACTTCATCTTCCACTATTGGGAACGAAGTCGGATAGCATGAAGAATGAAGACTGGGAACTGTTAGATCGACAGGTTCTAATGGTTATTTGGTTGACCCTTTCAAGATTAGTTGCACACAACGTTACCAAGGAGAAGACCACTACAGATCTCATGGCTGCTTTGTCAGGTATGTATGAAAAGCCGCTTACAAATAACAAGGTGTATCTGATGAAAAAGTTATTCAATCTGATGATGGCAGATGGTACGTCTATTACCTAATACCTGAATGAGTTCAATACCATCACCAATCAATTATCATCTGTTGAAATTGAATTTGATGATGAGATTCAGGATCTAATATTGCTGGCATCACTGCCAAATAGTTGGGAAGCCATGAGGATGGATGTTAGTAATTCTTCTGGTAAGATGAAACTTAAATATGGTGATATTCGTGATTTAATTTTGGCTAAGGAGGTGCGCAGGAAAGATTCTGGCGAGACCTCGGGATCCAGTTCCGCTCTAAATGTTGACACTCGTAGGAGGTTAAATGATAGGAACTCAAATAGAGGAAGATCAAATCAAATAACAGGGGCAAGAGCAAGTCAAGGTTTGGATAGCAGGTGACTTGTGGATAGTAGGCGACTTGTTGGAATTGTGGTAAAACCAACCACATAAATAAGAACTACAAAAATCTAAAGAAGACAGAAGGTGATGGCACTAATAAAGTGGCTGAAGAAGTGCAAGACGCGCTACTACTTGCAGTTCATAGTTCGTTTAATGACTGGATACTGGATTCAGGGGCATCTTTTCATACCTCCTCTCACCAAGAAATCATGCAGAACTATGTTGCCGGTGATTTCAGAAAAGTGTGCTTGGCTGACGGATAAGCACTAAACGTAGTGGGGATAGGAGATGTTGATATTACACTTCCTAATAGGAGGTGTGGACCTTGCAGAAGGTTACGCACATTCCCGAGTTGAAGAAGAATCTTATCTCTATGGGACAGCTCGACAATTATGGCCACTCAATAATGTTCTCAAATAGCACCTGGAAAGTTTCAAAAGGAGCACTGGTGCTGGCCTGAAGCAACAAGACTGGTACTTTGTACATGACAGACAATTCCAATAATACTATTACCACCACCACTATAAAGAGTACTGCAGAGTTGTGGCATTGTAGACTTGGTCATATGAGTCAGAAAGGCATGAAAGAACTCATGTCAAAAGACAAACTACCAAAACTAAAAGCAATTGATTTGGGCATATGTGAGAGTTGTATACTTGGGAAGCAGAAAAATGTCAGTTTCTTAAAAAGTGGTAGAGCTCTGAAATCAAGAAAGCTAGATCTTGTACACACAGATGTATGGGGACCCTCCCTTGTGACATCCCTTGGAGGTTGCCGGTACTATGTCACGTTCATTGACAACCATAGTAGAAAGGTATAGGTTTATTTTTTGAAACATAAATCTAACATGTTTGATGTTTTCAAAAAGTTGATGGCCCAAGTTGAGACAGAGACAGGCCTAAAGCTAATATGTTTAAGGTCTGACAATGGTGGAAAGTACATTGATGGATGATTCAAGGAGTACTACGCAGCTCAAGGTATCAGAATGGACAAAACCATTCCTGGGACACCATAGAGAATTGGCATTGCTGAGCGCATGAACAGAACCAT